TCTATTAGATTGCAAGGTGAGTAGGTTAGCTTCAGTAGTACTTTGCCTAGCCTTCAAATAGTTCAATAGTTATGCATAGCTTTTTTGTTCAGATTATCACTTGAGCACATAACATGATCATCTAAAACTTCCTACTTCAGCTGATTTCTCAATATAGTCTTTACCTCGTTACTCAAGAAATCACAATGTGACAACACAAGCCTGATGTAAAGGCTTGGTTGGTAAGCTACCTGTTGTTTACTTTTTGGGTTTAATAGGTAGAAGTGGATTATCAATCATCCAAAAGTCCTTTGTGGCTGTAAATTGCTAGATATTTTACAGGTTTTCGTACCATACTTTTTAATTAAAAAAGGGTTTTGTTTGTTTTTAAGCTCCTTTTTCAGCCTCCTATTCAGCTTTATTAGAGAGGAGTAGCTCTCATGTCTGGGCTAGTACTTTTTTCTGAGGTCATGGATTCCAAGACTTTTTAACTGGAATGGAAAAAATAGATTTAAATAGAAAGTTAAAAGGCTCTGTGTACCAGTGTTCCTAGTCCGATTATTCTGCAGAAGATGAAACAAGAAAGCAGTAAGAGGCCAAGTCTTTCCTTGCTGCCCTTGCCAGGAGGCTGAACCTGTAGGTAGTGGGATAAATACTTAGAAATTATTACTTCTGGGCTTTTTAATTGATTTAATTATAAAATGAAGGGGTTTTTAATTAAGATGTGCAACATTTGGCTTCCAAATCTCTGACTTGGCCTTTTTTCCCCATGACTAGACTGTGGGTTTTCTCATCCTTTATGACATATCCTTAGCTATTGTCATTAACTTAAAACATGTGAGTACCTCCATCAATGCCAAACTTTGAATGAGCACATTTAAATACTTTATTGGATGAAATTGTTACAGTACCTTGTAGCAAATGAAGCCTCATATTTTAGTCCTGTGTCTTTATGACCAATTCCTTCATTGTTTTTTGTCATCTTATAAAATACTGAGCTTTTCCATAAGATCTCTGTTGTGATTTAATTTTTTTTTGATACAACAGTCATCTTTTTCCCAAAATTCAGCTGCCAAAAATTGAGGTGTACACTATAAGCAAGGAAATACAGTAATATGAGTTTCTACTTCTGAAAAAGGGGGAGGGTGTGGGGGAAGGTAATTTTGCAGTGCTGCACATAAGGCTTCCTAACTGTTTGCTGTGGGCACTTTCTCTTCCTCCTCCCTCCCCTCTTGGCCGAAGCTCTTGCTGCAGAAGCAAGAAAACATCTTTTTTTCCCTTTATTGTGCCTTCCAAAAATGAAGTGCGTATCTTTATACGGGAAGTGTTTTATGTGGGAAAATAAGATACTGTTGTGCATTAGTGAAGACTGTATTTACCCAAATCCAGAACAACTCTGAATTTGTTATAATTTGTTATAATTTTCCATGTATAGAATCTAATTATTGGAGAGTTGTCTTAAATTTGTCCCTTCTACTGCAGTGGTGAGGACAAAAGGCAGGTGGGAGGCAGTAAGGGGTAGGCAGTGGGGGGTCAGTAGTAGGAAAGGTAGAGGAGGCAGGGAGTGGGTTTTGACCCCTACCCTTGATCCCCCCCACACCTTGCCCCCTGCCAACTGTCCGTCTTCACAGTTTACCACCTCCCCACCCATGCCTGCCCCTACCATTTCTGTCCTGCCTCTGCCTGTCCTCCTGCAGCCTCAGTCACCCATGCTCCCCACTAGCTGCTTATTCTTGTTTCAGCTTCAGCAGGCTCCATCCATGCTGCAGCCTGGGGCATGGAACATATGTACTCGAGCCAGGGCTGGAGACACCATGCTGCTGCTCTGTTACAAGGCTGGGCTGAGGCTAAAGGCCCTTGTCTGAGCTGTCATCACTGCTACTGTGGGACCATGCAAATGCATGCTCTGTGCCCCAGGCTGGAGCAGACACTGAGCCTGCCAGAGCGAAAGCTGCAGCAAGGTAAGTGGCAGGAGGGGGCAGAGGCTGCAGAGGGAGGAGATGAGGGTGGGGAGAGGCAAGGGCTGGGGAGAGGGGGGCAGATAGGGGGGAAGAGGCTTTTGGGAGGGCAGGAGACCTGAGGCTACAGGGGGATGAGGGAGGGGGCAGAGGCAGTGGGCAGGCAGCAGCTGTGGCTCCAGCTCTGACTCCAGGTTGGGGGTGGAGCCAGAGCTGCAGCAGCTGCCTAGTTTCCCCCTCCAACCCCACTGCCTCATACTGAAATCCCAGATGAGGAGCTTTTTACCACGTGTTAAATGGGAGGAAAAAACCTCATCTTGAATTCCAATACATATGATAGTTTAATTTTAAAACAGCTTTAAGCGCACAACACTGCACATATGCAAGCATATGTGGAACTCATAATTCACAGGTCAAAGATTTCTTAGGGTAATGAACCAAAAGGAAACAAAGCTCCAGAAGTTGGCAAACATTATCAGAAATGACCAGCTTCCTGCCTGTGCAGTAGTCAATTCCGTAGCATCAGTCAACATCTGCTGTGGTTTGGGTGAAGTGAATGTTATTTTCATCAGGCATGAAACATTCTAGGATTATAATGATCTTAAGGCAGGGCTAGTACTTTATTGTATCCTTCTGCCTTCAGTTTACTGTTCCATTGTAGCTAACCGAGTGTGTCTACAAATTTGGAACCACAATTGCATAGAAAAAATTACGTTTGCATTCCTCCTTGTTTTATAAATGTACTTGAAATAACCTTAATACTGACATTCAAATGCTGGTTCTAGGAGGGTTAATGGAAATGTGTTCCACTGTATGATAGTGTCAAGTGTGTGCATTCTATTGTAATCCATGCAGAATTCCTAAAATCTATTAAGACTCCAAAATGTGTTAAGATTTGCCATATTTACTTGAATACAAGACAAGGCTTTTCCCCCAAATCAGCACAAGGAAGGAAATTCTTCATCTTACTTAAGGAAACCTCATTAAATATGTTGCCTGTTACTGAACTGCTGCCAGAAGCATCATGTGCTCGGTAATGGAAAGCAACTATGAAGTTGATTAAATATAGCCAACACTGAGCATAACTATAAAACACGTGTCCTGTATTGCAGGGGTGTAGGTTGTAGCCATGTTGGTGTAAGGACATAGGCAGACATGGTTCTTTGGGTGAATCTGATATCTTTTATTAGACCAACGTAAATAGTTGGAAAACAGTTTTTAAGGGTTGCTTGTTTAAAAATTGTTTTCCAACTATTTAAGTTGGTCTAATAAAAGATATCAGATTCACCCAGAGAACCTTGTCTGCCTATGTCCTATATTGGGCAAACATGCTGATGAGAACCTACTACAAAAATAGGTTAGTGCAGACCATCTGAATAAGATATATTGTGGTGTCCATTGTGCGCAGTCCCTCTCAGCACCTACTGTTGATTCACATTATGGTGAGCCACTACATTGTATACGTTTTGTATACTTCTTTTTCACTCCCACAGCTGAGCTATGCCTTTTTTTCCAATTTCCATTTATTCCTGTTTCTTCACTAGCCTTAACTGTCTGGTAAACATCACCAAAAGGAGCCCCAAACCGTTCACCCAAAATCCCTCCGTTGGCCCCTCTCTCAGCTTATTGCATGTGATTACTGTGGCCCCACCCTCCATGAGGTGGAGCCAGACCAAGTTGCCCTATGCCTCATCTACATATAAATTTTTGGAGGATCCCAGGACTCATGACAAAAACACCCAGTTCCAGTCATGAGTGGGTGTTTAATTAATACATGGATCCTTTGTGGGACGGTATTTGGAATACACACGCATACTGAGTAGTGCTGAGCTGTGGGGTAACCATAACTTGAAATGCTGTTGACTCTGCTAAGGCCCAGCCCAGTGAATGATCTGGTAAATCATGAGACTTTTGGCTTTGGACTAATATTCATAGTTTGTACTATATGTAAGTAGGTACAGAAGTGCTGCTTAAAAGTGTGTTTATGGAGTAACTGTGCTACAACTTGCTGCAGTTTCAAAAAAGACAAAATGCATTAATTCTAGATGAACTAAGTCTATGAATACTTATAGAAATTTGCAACATTTATTTCAAGGTTCAAATTTGCTCCTCGCTTCCGTGTGCTCAGGGAGAGCAGGGTCTGACAGTAAGGAGAGGGGGAGAGCTACAGGGGGAAGAAGTTGGGGGAGAAGGGGGCTACCTGACCCCCAAGACTTATTTTCCCTGATGTAGCAATGGGAGTGGGATAGATTCAAGGCAGACCTCCAATACTTAGATTCTATATCTGGAAACTTGTATAACAAATTTATAAATTTTCCAGATATAGAATCTAAGTATTGGGGGTCATCTTGAATTCAGTGTTATCTTATAGTAGAGCAAATGCAGTAGGAATGTATATTCCATTATTATAAATTCTTGGCTTGTCTTGCCTCATTTTAGTTTCTGCTATACTCTCTTAAACCAGACATTTGTCTTGTTCATATGCAAATGTCCTGATTATTGGCTTTCCCATGTGGTCTGCCTTGATGTCAATTTTAATTTATATGCGTGTGTGTGTGTGAATGTGTAAACATACACACATACATGTGATGAATTGGCTCCAAACTTTCTCTGATTTTTTTTTTTAAATATCAAAATCATAAGGTAACAGAACAAGAATGAATAAGAAAAGAATGAATATTGTGTCAACTTTAGCTGAATATTTTTTTATAGGTGTTCTCGTGAATGTTTTTGGAATAGTTTATAAAACCTTGCAATTTTGGGCTTTTCAATATGAAGTTTTAGTTTCTGCTTTTGTTCCTTAAGAATATCTACATTTTATAAACATGAGCCCCAGATAACTAAAAAGTACAGTAAAAAAAGAACAAATCCTTTTTTCTTCTATTTAGATGATGCATGAACATACCTACACTATGCTAAACTCAGTCTCTTTATAATTTTTAGCCTGTTTTTATCACTGCTTGCATTTCTTTGCATGCTTTCAAACTGGCAACGCATTTTTTTCATAAAACTATAATTGAAACTCTTTGATTCCATTCTCCATCTTCTCCTTTTGCTGGTTAGATGACTGTAGGGAAGGTGTCACGTGGAATTGGTGCTGTGGCTGAAGTTCTTGTCAGTCTGTATATGAATGATCACAGGCCCAAGCCACAGTTTTCCTTCCAAGAGCTGGTAAGGCTAAACCCATAAAGAATGAAATCGGTCAGTTTCAAGTATAACAATACAGGGGTATTGTCCCAACTTAAGATTCTAGAATTGAGAAATTTCTGGTTCTTAAGCAACCTGAAATTAAACTCGTCTGTAGGAATTAGGTACTTTTGGCAGAAGATGCCTACGTGGAGGTATGCTGTAAATGTCTGGTGTCCTAATTTCAATTTTGTTACTTTTATATTTTGTTACTTGTCTGTGCAATATGCATCTCAAGAAGCATCTCTTAAAAGTAATTACTGTTGTAATTATTAAGACAGGGATGGCTTCTAAATAAAGTTTTATAAAGTACATGTTTGTGCAGTTGCATTGACTACACACATCATCATGTGTCTCTTTGAAGAAAGCTGTTCTAATTTATGATAATATTGGATTTGAATTCAGAACCAGTCATTGGATGGCGATATATCATCCTTCCCTACTTCTTGTTCTGTTTCTCCAACTTGTGCTTCTACTATTCAGAGCTGTCAGGTATTAAAAGACAAAGTGAAGTGTGTCTTTGTGAAGGCACTAAGCTATTAGCAAGCACTAATCTGTAAGGGATCAAGCTTGGCCATAACTCATCACTGGTAGTACTTCATTAACCTAGTATTTTCAACCTGTGCTGTGCCTTTTTAATTTTAATCCTGTGCTTGTTAACTTTTTAAACCTCCTGTATGGTGTATACTAACAGAAGTAACCTGTGCCTCAGCAAAATAGGGCACATAGAAGCAAATTTTGACTGGTTTTTGCATGTATAAGAACATGCACAAGATGTATGGCTAGAAGCACTCTGTAAATATTGAGAAATTACCCTGCAAAGCATGTTCCATTGGTGATCTTAATCAGTGCTACTTATATCTACCTTGACTTTCCCAAATATCCCACCTCCTCCATCTCATACAGATTACTTTGTTTTATGGCAAAAATAATGGAGAGGTTGCTCTGCATGGGTAAAACAAGGATGTGTAAATAATGCTGCTTTTCAGTCTTGACATACATGCCTTTTGTGGAAAGCTCAAGGATGGCCGGGCCTAACAGACACTGGACCCGTTGATGATAAACCTTGTGGGATTCGAAAAATGTCCTTTATTAGGTCTAACAGAACAAAAATACTTTAAAGTTGCTAACATGAATCATATTTCAAAATCACAGTTCTGTAAAATATTCTGAATATACTTGCACTAGAAATCCAAGGACAAAAAATTAGAGGGAAGGAGCTTCCAAATTGTTCAGGTTGAGTGATGTTTCAAATGCCAGCAGAGAACTTCAAATTCTGGCTTTTGTTAACAGTGCCAGGCCACCCCCTTGGACTCGAAGCACGGCCTGGGGCTTCCTCGGAAGACTGTCATATGTTGACCTGACTAATAATTTCATCGACTTGGGCTTTGACTGCATATGTCTGTTCTTTGCTGGGACAAACATCTGTATATGTGTTCTTATAAAATCATAAACCTGCACTCAGGCAGATATCTGGGTTTCAACCAGCAAACTCCAGGGTAACAAACAAATCATCTTGTTGGATATTACCTGTGTGTGTATATCTAATCTTAAGTGGAGGTTTTTTCATTTCAATTTTTCAGCTATACTTTTTAATTTTGATGGGGCAGGGATGTCTGTAACTGTATAAAACCTGCAACTTGCTAAGTTAGTACGTGCGTGTACTGTAGCATGTTGATAAGCAATATATTTTTCATACGTTTTCACTGTATTCTTAACAGGTATCTTTGAGAAAAGAATTTCCTCAAACTGTAGGGGGGAGTGACATCTGCTATTTCTGCAAGAAACGGGTCTACGTCATGGAGCGGCTGAGTGCAGAGGGTCACTTCTTTCACAGGGAATGCTTTAAGTGTGATGTGTGTTCTACAACGCTTCGGTTAGGGATTTATGCCTTTGATGTCGAAGAAGGTAATAAGAGAATATACAGCAGTATTTTTTAAATGTTTGAATGCCAAATGTTTATAATATAGCAGGAAAAAAAGAGTGGTCCAGGTGGTTCAGTCAGGAGATGTGCAGATTTTCTTTTACAGCTCTGCCTGTGCTGACCTTTCATGATCTGTAATCCCACTGCAATTGCAGTCCTAAATTCTTCAAGGAAGCCTGATATGACTATGCTTTTGCTTAAAGGAAGGAATGTTTGTGGGAGACCAAATGTATTTCCTTGCTCTGGTCACAGGTTGAAATAAAGACCAAAAGAAGACAGTGATTTCCTGAAATTGTTAATAATCTGGCCAACTTGATCATCACCCAGATATAATAATGTCTTTGTTATTCAGTACTCTGTGTGGGAATGAGTCAGGATAGTGACAGATTTGTTCAATAGGAGAAGTATGGGTTCATTCTTTTTTTCAAGGCTGTGCCTCAGAAATTGAAATCAGTTATGTTAGCTGGCTTGTGGTACCATTCACTTTAATTTTCTCTAAGCTTTAATGGTGCTGGACTCAAGACCTGAACACCGTGGCTGATCTGTTCATTTAGGAAAGGATATGTTAAAACATGTGAACATCTCCTTTCCTTCCTCCAGTGCTCCAAACAAGAACTGAACTTTGTTGGCCTGATCCATCTCTACCTATGTCCCCTACAAAGAAGCTAACTATACAGCTGCAGAAGCAATTTTTTCAACTAATTGGTTCTGCTTTTTCCTGGTTGGCATTTTTAAATGGTTTGTGAAGCTATTTCTAGCAGCTCAGAGCACTTTACTAACCTTAACAAAGATTCAGCCGTGTGAAGAAGCTAGGTACCATCACCCCATGTTACAGTGGGGTTCCCTAAGGACAGAATCAGACGTTGCATTTCTCCCAGGACCAGTTGTGCTTGTCTTTGTTCTGGAATAAAAAGGTCCTGGGTACACACACCATCCATTCAGTCAGGGTATAGTGGGCAGCTAAATGTATTGTTGCTTTTCTGCCATTGATTTAATGATGCAATCTCAGGACAACCGTTCAGATGTACTTTGTGATGGCCTATTAGCATTTCTTATCCTGTGAACCATTAAGGATTTGTCTTGGCACAGCGGACATGGATATCTGAATGATCATACTTTGTCCTGGGAGAAAATGGTCTCTTCTGCAACATCTGTTGGTATCCTGACTCATGCGGTCTGTCAATGGCAAAACTAGGAATAGAGGAAAGGAAGTCACAATTTCTCTAACCAGTAGATTGCAGTTTCATTCAATTTACAAGTATATTCATTTGCAGCCCTTTGATCTCCAAACTAATTATCACACCATTTTTTATAGGTAAATTTTACTGCAAACCTCATTTTACACACTGTAAAATCAGCAATAAACACAGAAAGAGAAGAGCCACATTACCGATACAAGAAAAGGTATGTTTTGATTAATATTTCAAAGCAAGAAAAGTGGAGGCAGTTTCATGGGGTTTGGCTCAGTGTGTTTGGTTGGCTTATCCCCTGACAATGGCTAGCACAGTGCTATGGTTTACATTTTACTGTGTGCATTTAGCATGTTTATGGTTTGGGATCCAATAGTTATAAATGTAGAAAGTGAGCTTTAGCTAAGGTACAGCTAAATGTGATGTCAATCCAAAATTAAATTAACTGTTGGCTCCCAGGAAATTATTAGAGAAAGTGAAAGTAGTTTAACTACTTTTGGACAGCTGTTGTCTCAGTGCTACATGTGCCAGTGCTGTTGGTATTAACTAAAGGAAACTGCAGAACACATTATATCCCATTATTATAAAAGATGACATCAGGGAGGTGTTTAAAATTGATGAAATTGTGTGTATGTGCGTATTTAGAAGTAGGACAGTGGGAATTCGTGGTGCTTCATTACCTCATTTGACTGTTGGTGCCTATCACATTGCAAGAAAATATAGTAATCTTCAGTTTCCACATTACGCAGTCTGATGCCTTTTGAAGCCTGATTTATCTTACAGCACCACAGGATTCAGAATCAACTTGTCCCTAACTTGGAAACGGTGACAACATTTTAAATGCACTGTATGTTCTTTTTTAAACACATTTAGTCTCTGTTTAATTTTTTTGGAATGTTCTTTTTAAGGGGGATGCGGAAATGTGGAAGAAAGAGGAATCCAAGCCCCCAGAAACCACCACAGAAAGCACTTTAACTACTGTTAGCAGTTCAGAAGACAGGCCTCCAGGTATCATGACTTCCTTCTTTAGGAAAACTCTAAGCTGGCCCCTTAGGGTGACAAGGGATCTGCTTGACATTCCAAGACGTCTGTCTAACTGGATGCATGGTTTTCTGCACGCTACCAATCTTCATTTCAGGGACAATGCATACAACTATACCTATTTGTATGAACTTTTGAGCCTTGGTGTGCCATTTCTCTGTGCGCTTCTAGAGGTACTTACTGATATGTACCAGGAAGCAAATCTATCACTTGAAACTGTTCTTGACTGGGTGAAAAAGTTCTTTAGGGCTTAAGTTCTTCTCAGATGTCTTGCTAAGCAGTGCCTTTCAGATTTCCAAAATTAATAGCCTTGCATTATTTTTTTTTCAACTTATCGTGTGCTTTAAATGAACAAAGGGCTCCTTTTGATAAACTAGGTGCAATCAAAACTCTCAATTAAAAATATGTACTGTAAAATAAAGGTATCATGAAGTCAGTGTCCAGACACATTTCCAGAAAGTGCGGACTAAATGAAGGATATTTTATAGACTAATGTGGAGAGTTGTTTTTTCCCTCTCCACTTGTGACCAGCCATTTTTCTGGGTTTACATTTTATAATTTTGTTTTAAAGACAGAGAAAGAACTGGTTCTTTCAGACATTTCAGGATTGTAGTGACAAATGACTGGGTTTTGAAACCTGAATATGGCACACCCCCTTTCTCTTGCTTTGGTCTTTGCTTTGGGTTACATGGTTTACTACTTGCATGAATACGTTCTGAGAAATATTTTTAGTGTATACAATGCACCTACTCTTAGTCATGCGTTTTTTATTTATTCCTTGTGGTGCCCTTTGTCAACACTGGGTATTTTCTGTAATCCTGCTTTATTTAAAACTAAAATAAATTTGAAGAGCAAATACTAGTTGAGTGAAGACTTAATTGAACTTGTCAGATTAAAGAAACATATACTGTAGTTTAGCCGTTATTTATTCCCAGAGTTAAGAGTTTTTGTTCATTTGGGGATGGATGCAAGCAGCATTGGTTTATTGACAAATCCCCCTCCTCCCCTGCCTGCCAAAGTCAGTATATTCTACTCAGATTTTTTTTAAAAGCCATATTTAAGTAATATAGCAATACTTATAAATTAATATTTAAAAAGTGATATTTTGTTAATCACAAAATCATAACATTGTATCAGCTTTGAAGAAAGGTTCTTGTGATGTATCCCAGTATGGGGTACCTTAGCCAAAGTAGTTCACTAGATTGTCTAGGGCTACATAATGGCAATTAGTTAAAAAAACAAAAAAACCCCAAACAGTTCCTCAGGCTCTGACTACTGTTGTCTCCCAGTCTTTAGCCAATGTCCTACGCACATTCCCTGCTTCTGAACTACTTGCGTTAAGTATCTGGCGGAAGCACATAGACAAATATCCTAATAATTTAGAGTATCTGCAACCTTTATCTCTTGTAAAGAGAGATTTTATTTAAGCAACAGGGAACATTTTTACGTTCAGTTGGTACAAAACAAATCTTGGAGAGGAGTCACCTGCCAGTGTTGTTAGCTTGGCTGTCTTTTGAGTTCACAGTCACTTTGGTTTGAATATATATTGTAAAGACCAATTGAAGTTTTCAGTTTTGCTTAGCCTGAAAAAGAAATGCACATTTAAGAGAGCCAAAAAACCCCAATCTGTTGGTAAATGGAAACAGATTTTCTGTAGAAAACTTTGTTCTTATTTTTTAAATGCAGAAAATGAAACATTGTAACATTCTAAATTATAAGAGTTCTTGAGGCTTTTGGGTTATGTGTGTTTTGTAAAAGCTTGTACACAGGATGTGAATGAATGTTTTCAAGAATGGTTTGCAAATGCAAACATAGCATGGCATATATTTGAGGTAAATTGCCATTTATGCACACACATGTATTCAGTGAATATCTGCTAGAGTATTGACAGGACACGACGGCACTTACAGTACCTGGTAAGCATCTACATGACTAGAGAAAAATGTGTCTGTACCTCTCTAGTGTATTTTAAACACTGTACTGTGGAATATTGCTATATCTTGATTCTTTGCTAATATAATTGCTTCATTAAAAAAAAGGGCTGGGGGGCAACCCCACAATTTGACTGACTGTACTGCTCCTGCAACACTAGATTATGTTAAGAAATACTTTTTCTGATCTTATAGAACATTGATTTTTTATTTCAGTGGCCGCATATACACGAGACACTGACTGTGTAGTTGTTACTGCACAGTCATTTAGTACTTGCATACACAAGTACTAAATGACTGCACAGTAACCAGCATTACTGCTCAGTAGTGTCACTGAATAGCTTTTTGGTGATGCTGACTACGCAGTAGCTCATTACTACTGCACAGTAGCATTGCATCACGCTTTGTGCCATGCGATGTTACTGTGGTGAGCTCCAGCAGTCAGTATCTTGTATAGATATGGCCAGTTGTTCTCAAACATTCGGATAGAATGTTTTTTCTCCTAAGATTTTTACAGTCATGCTTATCAAATAAAGGAGATTTTTAGTCTCAGTAGAGTGAGCATAATGGAAGTCTTAATGAAGAATATTGTAGCCAGAAGTTTGAAAATCTGATATGCCATGAATTTGAAGCAAATGAACTTTGCTAGTAGAAAATAAAACAATCCTCGTTGGTTGCTCATAGGTTAATTAATTCAGGGCAAACATGTGCACAATTAAAAACTTTTGCAGACTGCTTTGAATTGCATGGAATACATTCAGTGACATCCCACTGTGCTTCATATTATAAAGTCTCACATTGGTAATAATGTAAAGGATATAATAATGTTTAATCCTTAGCCTTAAAATTCTACTACTAAGGTTCAGCACTGTTCCTCTCTGTTAATAGATTTAAAAGACAATGCTCATGAATTAATGAAGAAATGCTATTTCATTGTATATGATTATTCAACTTTACTGTACCTTTCTGCACCTGATAATATTTCTGAATATATCCTATAATCAAACTGAATTTCCTTCTTCTTTTTTTTTTTTTTTACTCTTCTTCCAATCTTCCGTGTTGCTTTTAGTTAATTTCAACATTCCAGTGCTACACCCTCTCATTGGCTGAAACATTTCTGCTGTAAGGTGATTGATTGCTTGCCAATTTTGAATTTTGTAACTAACACTTAATATTGTTTGTCATCAATGCATCATTTTCTGTTTTACACGTTTTTGGGGCAAACTGTGTGTCTGGTATATTAATGGATGAAAGCTTTAGCGTGATCATTTAACCTATTGCATAATTCACAATTCAAAAAGGTTATTTCTCTTATCAGTCTGGAAAGAACTGTCTCTCTGCATGCATATCTTCTCATATTTCTGATTAATGTTAATTCAATAAGACCCTACTCCCTTTAAAGTACTGAAGGAAAGTATTAAAATATGCACTAGTTCAGGACCAGGACATGAAGAATCTCATAGCCAGTCCCTGTCCCTCTCAGTTTAGGGATTTGCTTCTGTTTCCACTGAACTCAGTGTTAAATGGGGACAGTAATGTTTACTTGGTTTAGTGTTGCACTTCTTAGACCTCTATATGAAATGTGAATCAATTACTCAATATTCATCTAGATAAAAGTTAAAGCACCTGGAAAGAAATAAAGCAATAAAAATTCCAATACCAGAAAATAAAGATTCCTTTGGGCAGGTGCTGCTTATTTTCAAGAAAATTATATATTTTTTAATATTGTACTGTCAGACTTGTTTAACTGGAGAGTTTGATTCAAACTGTTTGTACTAAAATCAGCTCTAACTATGCCCATTAGTAACTTTGGGTGTTGTTTGATGAATTGGTAACAGATTTGTCTTGCTGCATGATGAGTTACCTTGTTCCATGCAAGGGAATGGCTTGTGAGAGCTTTTTTTTATACGTGCCATGAATAATTGAATTAAATGAAAGGCAAGATTAATCCCCATGAGAACCTTGGGCCTGCATGTGGATCCACTTGCATGGAACCCTACACTCATAAGTTTCACTTGAAATTGTTGTCCATGTGGCAAGTCCGATTGAATAAGCAGGCCCTTTGCCAGTTCATGGAAAGCTCTCTCAAGAAGACTTGTAAGGAGATTGCAAGCCTCCCTTGCTGAAATGCTCCTTTCTGCGTGCCATCCTGAGAATAAGGAAGGGGAATGCAGAATCAGATGCACAAACTCATGACCTTCCCCCTGCTACCTGTGTGCTGATATTACTAAATTAATGACATTTCAATGAGCTGGTATCCTAAACCTCTTAAGAGAACTAATCTCTCTTAAAACAAAAACAGTCAGCCCACCTGCCCCATCACCTTTAATTAGAAAAGAAAGCAAGAACTTTCTACATTACAATTTTAAGCATCATTTCTTAGACCAGAAGGGAAGGACAAGTGTTTTATATAAAAGTTTAGAATTCAGATTTTTATTTTATTTTTTGTTTTTACTAAACTCTGCATGTACCAGCAAAATGAGGTTTGTGAAGTAAAGGTCACTCATTTCAAATTGCTTTCCATTGCTGTGTTTCTCTAACTTCTGTTGCAGAGTCTTCATATATTCAAAGAATGCCAGCAAGGATTCTGTCCTTCTCTTCCTTAAACCTTCTGCTTCTTCTTTTTGCTTCCTGATCTTAACTGATTGATTTATTACTGTTGTTGTTATTATTACCTAGTTCTTTTTTTTTTTAAAAGTCTGTATTTGAATTGTCACTTGGAAAGTCTGTATTTTGCACACAGTGAAAGTTGTTTAGTTTTATTTATGGCATTTGCTGTAAATGAAAATAAATGTAGTTCTTTATAAACTTCATTGTATCATCTCTTCCTTTTTAAAAACTGATTCTTCTAAAGACACGAACTGAATGGCAACTATTCAGATTCATTTTCCATATTCTGCTTCTGTTGGATGCTGAAATGATTGCATTGATTCAAAGTAATTTAATTTTAATGGGAGCAATTCGCCACCCCGCCACCACCCACCACCACACCA